GGAAATAAAAGTAGAACAGTGCTTCTTTTATAGACATTACAAAAGACAAGTTATTTTGCAATTGTGTAAAACAAAATTTCTTAGCTTAAAAAAAAGTGTTGCTTTCCAAAAGCTATACTCTCATGAGCAGCCATTTTGAATGTTGTTGTATTGTCTACCACACAAATCCTGAAATGGCTTTCTTCAGGAAAAAAAAAGTATTAGAAAAATAAATCATCAATGAAGTACAGGCAATAGATGCAACCATTATTGCTCTTGGACCTGTAGTGAGTTAAAGTGTGACCTAATGTGCACTGTTTCTGTCATGCAGAAGAACCAGGGAGATAGCAGAAAAGATCAGCAAAGGAACGCCCTGTCCGTCCAAGCATCTGTGGCCACTCTGTAAAAGCGAGTGCCATCATGCATGATGTGTGGGGGTCAGCATGCTTGCTGTGACACTCCTGAGAGTCAGGGGACAACTACACAAGTTGGTTCTGTTTCTACCAGGGTGGAAACTCAGGTGTCAGGAGACAGGTGTTTTACTCACTGACCAGGACACAGGCCCTGTGACTATTCTTGTCAATCATCACTTCCAGGTCACAAACCCGGTGACTATTCCTGTCAACTGTCACTTCCGGGTCACCCATGTGAACGGAAAGTCACCAGAACACTTAACTCTGACACACAAACCTGCCACTCTTAGCAAATATTGAAGGTTTTCAAGACTGACACATATTCGAAGCAGTTTAGTTTTGTGCTTATACCTTATCATTAAGACTGTTTATTCACCTTGGATTGAAAATAACTAAGAAGAGATAACTGCAAGCAAATCTATTCACCAGTCATCAAAGAATCGCAGAGTCGTGGCTCAAGATATCACTACCGTAGTGGTTGCAACTCCAAAGGATTCGTACCCATTTTCTGCTATGAAGAGACTAAAACAGGCAATACAGATGATCTGCACATGAGATTACAGTTAAAATCCCATCACGACCATCCTTACAGTGCCACTACTCAAAGCAGTCAAGAGGGAGAGGAACCTGTGTCCATAACAAGTGAATAAAAGATGGGACATTAGGGTTGAAAAGGAAGGAAACTGGGACAGGTGATGCAACACGAGTAAAACTTGAGAGCACTGTTCTGTGCAAGGTGTGGTTCAACCTACACATTAAAATAACAAAGAGGGCAAACTCCATCACCATTGTAAAATATGAACTGGGACACATTAAACACCAAGCAAGTGGTACAAGACGACCTTATGATGGTGCTTCGGGTGCTGAACACAGTAGAACAGCCAACATCTTTTTCTTCAAAGAAAACTGGAGACCCAGATGGGCAGATGGGAGGCGAGGGCACTGGAAGAAACAGGGCAGATGGTGGGAGACGCACTGCCCAGATCACAGTGTGGCGGTCTGAAGGGCGAGGCGAGACAACTGCCACAAGGAAGGCAGCCATTTCTCCTTGGCCAGCTCTCACCAGAATGCAGTGATAACGTCAACGCTGTGGGCTGCAGTGAGGAGGGGCCATCATCTCAAGCCCACTGTCTTCAGTTACATTCTCCAATCCCCATAACATGAGAATAGCTATGCATTTTAAGTAACGTCTTGGCTGATCTTCGGTGGCAACCTGACTAGACTTAGAATCCCTGAGAAGACACATTTCTGGGTGAGGGAGTTCCCAGAAAGGTTTAACTCAGGAGGGAAAAGTCATCCTGTGTGTAGGACAGGGCAGGACAGAATGTCACCATCTCATGGGATGGGTCAAAGCTGGACATAAAGGAGCAAGAGCTGGAAATCAGCGCTCGCCATTCCCTGCTTCCTGCCTGTGAATGCAGCGTGACACCTGCCTCACACTTGTCCCCATGACAGACTGCACCCCTCCAGATCGTGGGCCAAAATAAATCCTCCCCCTTAAGCGGTTTCCAACCAGCTATCTGATCACAAGAAAAGTAATCAAGATGGGGAGAGGCTGCACAGGAGTGAGGAGGATGGGGGCAGAGGGTACGTGCACACCTTGGCACCCATCCATCCCACCGTCAGTACTGTCTGTCTGTAGGCTACATAAACGGACATTTGAAGAGAAACATGACTTTTCCCCAGTGGTGTTCAGAAACTGTCATCTGGCCCTGTCTTGAAGCTGTATCCTCATCACTAGGAAAACAAACTTCCCAATACTCCTACTTAACAAAAGTCTTATCTTGACCCTGAAATGAACCTTTCCATCCTCTACAAAATACTCAAAACTTAAGCCAAGTGTTTGAGTGGTTTTTCAAGACATATCCTTGGAAACAGCTTTCTACAGATGATAGACAGGTAGGGTGTAGACAGGACGGTCACGCCTAGTCACCCACTCACAGAAGTGGATAAATCCTGTAGCTTGCATCTGTCTGCATCCAGCAGCAGCCACAGAGAGACAGTTTGTATAAACAGGAGAGAAGCAGATGGCCATGGATCCAAAATCAGCCTTTAGCCAGGCCTGAAAAGGTCATTTCTTCAAACCAATAAGGAGACCAGAACACCATCTTTAGACCTGAGTGCTTTCTGGGGAAGTGAGGGAAACAGAGAGAAGGAGGGTGAGAGGAGTTGCTGGCTCATCAGCTCACTATGGTGAACTAGTGCCAAGCTCTGTTCTCCAACCTTCAGGCAGGCTTTATTTGTACAAGCAAGGTATCACCACATACCCCTCCTTTTTATGTCTAAAATTTAAAAAAGTTTGTAATATAAGGAAAACTATATACAATAAGTGCAATAAATATAGACTATATATATGTATATATATGTATATATATATGTGCAATAAGTACATTGACAATGTCTAGTCCATTAGCATTTGACAAATTCAGAGAAAATACTGCACACTGATTCTTTCTTGATGATTCTAAAGTCTTGTACCCAATTTACTTTCTATCCTAATTTGCATTATCAAATTATCTTTTAATGTCTTTCAAACCTATTACATTTAACACATTTTTTGTGGGATTCTTTTCTGAGTAACAAGGAAACAAGGAAAACTGTAACTATAGTATCTAGTCTTCAACTCCCTCAGAGACCCAAGGAGGAAATAACATTAACTGAGTAAACAGGAAGTATTAACAAGCTACTTCCAAAAACTGTGAGAAATGACAGAAACAGCCTGGTCAGTCACCCAAGGTTGCTCTGCAACACTGGGGCATCTATATCTGACAGACTCTTGTTTAGGTATTGTGTTTATACAGCATTCTGAAAATGTAATGTATAATTAAATAAAGATTATAAATAGTCACCTATAATAGGTTTTCTAGGTACACAGAGATATATTTAAAATGAATGGGTATTCTTTCAAACCTCTCAAAGACTTTCAGGATATGGTATTTAAAATGGTTTATTAGGGCTTTTCATGACAATGAGACATGTCTGCTCCTGACAGCACCAATCTACTTCAGAGAAGATGATGGGCATGGAAGAAACTGTACACGGAGCTTACTTTCTTTGTGGCAAAGTTAAGCCACTGGGCAAGAAAGTGCCCTTGCCACAACTGCTGACAGTATGCTGTCCAAAATGAACAAATGGGACACCAAAGAGAGTAACTGCAAAACCTTGTCAAGACAAGGCTGGGCAGCCCTTCAAAAAATTCTGCTTCACAGAAAAGTCTGCCAGACACTATGGCCTATGGGCTGAAGATGGATGCCCCAACATTACAGAGAAACTTTGGATGACTGTGCAGGCAGCAAGATGTATCTGTCAATTATAGAGTTTATATATTATCCTTCTGAGGTCTTTGAAAGAGCTGAAGACAGATAGTTATGGTTATGGTTTGCCTTAGTTATGATAAAAGATAAGTTACATATAAAACTTTAGACTCACAAAGATAGGACAGATAATAGAATATTTTCTTTAAATTTTGCCAAATGTTAATGGACTAAATATTGTTAACTACAGTTCTTACTTGATAACTATTTTGACATGTAATTTTACTATGTTAAAGTTAAAGCCTTCCTTTTAATTTAGACAGAAAAGAGGAGATGGTGGGAGATATCCTTCTGTATGCTGTGAATATGTTTCTCTTATTCACTGATGCATAAAGCTGTTTCGGCCAATGGGCAGGCAGGCTGTAGCCAGGTAGGAAGCATAAGTGGGCCTACCAGACCAGGAGAATTCTGAGAAAAAGAATGCAGGGAGTGAGTCTCCAGTGAGATGCCATGTAGCCACTGGGAGGGTAGGATGCCTGGGCCTTCTCTGGTAAGCCAAACCATGTGGAGACACATAGATTAATAGAAATATGCTAACAATTAAGAGAGAGAGCCAGTAAGAAGCTTGAGCCATCGGCCAAACAGTTTATAATTGATATAAGCCTCTGTGTGTTTATTTGGAACTAAATGGCCTAGGGACTGGGCAGGATGGATATCCCCACAGCCTACATATGGCCTCTGAGACCAGGGACAAAGCTTCTTGGCAACTGCCTCTCACATCCAGATACTGAAGGAGCTTCTCCCTCACTCCACCCCCCCCACGGAATTTGGCCCCTCCTACCACTTCTATTCTGTGACTGAGCATCCAAACAAACCCTCTGAGGTACAGCGTCTTACGACACCTTTACATGGGGACATGACGTCTCTCCCTTGCTCTTGTGAGAAGATGAGCACTGGATGTGGATGCCTGGGCCTCTGCAGGGAGACACCAAGCCCTTAAGGCGTATGCCCGGGAATGGTGGAGCTGGGCAATTATGACAGTGGCTCCTTGTTCACCTTTCTGAGAAACATTCACACTGACCTCAGGAGTATCAGGAGTATAAGCCAAGGTAGATGTGAACGACATATGTTGTACTTAAGGCTCATTCAGAGTCCCTTATACAACCAGCCTCCAGCTGGCACAGAATGGGAAAAAAGGAAATTTGGATTCAGACTGTTCTAGGTCTCTACATTTTTCAGATCAAAAAACCAACAAACTTAAACAAAAAAAAAATGAGAACTGGGTTTTACAAACAAACAAACAAAATCACTTTAGATACAGGAAAGAAAGAATCCTGTAACCAGGACGCAATACCTGTAGGAAAGGTGGCCCAGGGGACAGCAGGGGACATTGCTTGGTTTCCACTGTGTTCACCATCAAAGGTCTCTGCGGCCTGTAAGACAAGGCAAGACCATTTGAAAAGACCTAAAGAGCTGTAGGTTTTATCAGTAGTCATGCGCCTAGCCCCACAGGCATGCTTCTGCGATGAGCCACTCACTCACATTCTCTCTGAACACCCACCCCACTGCCATCTACAGTGCCAGATCCCAGTTCCCAGGTAAATGACTTCCTTCCTTATCCCAACAACCTCACGTCAATGAAATGTTTATTTCGTGTGTCTTTCATTGTAATTTAACTCATCATATTTGTCCATCGGTGTAAAAATTCCCTTAACAATAGACTTGAGCAAATCTTTTATTTGAAAAGGTCATTTAGATTAGCATGAGATTTAGGGACTAATCTGAAAGAGCAGGTGAGCCTGTCTTCTTGAACAATCTGGTCTCTCTGGTACCAAACTGTAGAGAATTACAAAAGCCAGCATTTTCAGTGAATGGGCTCTCCTGTTTGGTGGCAGCTACTTAGGACAAGGCTTACAGAGAGCACAAAGTTTTCAGTCTCTCAGGTAGCTGTTAAAGTGAGATTAGTATTATGATTAGTATTAGAGAGTTAAAGTGAGATCAGAGATATAATGTCATAATTCTAATTCCTCTTCTGCACTGAGTTGCCAGACAACTCAGAAGCCAGAGGACATGGGCTGCAGAGGACAGAAGATGAGGCTGCACTGTCCACGCGCTGTGAAAGTGAGTATATTGGACTGAACACAGGACGAAGACCTTCTGCTCCTCCATAGCAGAACTGAAGAGCAAGAACGCCTGCTGAACACAGTCAAACCACATCAGGAAATGAGTGCTAGCCCTCCTGTTGAGAGGACTGACACACTGAAGTGACACTGAATTCAGTTGTCACTTGTGAAAGCAGCTGCGGCTTTTCTATGGCTCTGCCATGGTTGAGCTGCGAGAAGATGCTTGTGTGGGACCCTTAAATAACAGCTTCCAGGCACCAAGGCAACATCTGGTCCTCAATATCCATGGAATCTTAACAAAGTTTTGAATGCTCCATTTAACACGAATGAGACTCCAAACATAAACTATTAGATAAAAGCATGGAACACTCAAATGAGTTTTTTAAAAAGCAGTTTGGGATGAAACATGGAATGCATGCACATCTACACTGACAGCCTGCACACAGAAAACCCACATGTCTACACTGGCTGCCCACACACAGAAAACCTATATGTCTATACTGGATGTCTGCACATGGAGAACATGTGTCTATAGCATTTCCCTGCACATGAAGAACATGTCTACACAGCATGTGTGTCTATAGTAGTTGCCTGCACATGGAGAACATGTGTGTCTATAGTAGTTGCCTGCACATGGAGAACATGTGTGTCTATAGTAGTTGCCTGCACATGGACAACATGTGTGTCTATAATACTTAACTGCACATGGACAGCATGTGTGTCTATAGTGGTTGCCCGCACATGGAGAACATGTGTGTCTACAGCAGTTGCTGCCTGTACCTGAAGAACACACGTGTGTGCACCGACTGCCCGCACACTGGCAGCTATGATAACAAATGACCTGCTGCTGAAAACGGCCACTGTTCTGCCTTGAAAATGCCCCCACTTCTCCATCGACAGTAATTGCACCCCTAACTTTTACAGCTCTCTTTTTACCAAATCCAAACTAGGTGAACAACTAAAAAACAAGAAGAAGAAAGTTCTGAGCTCACACAGTGGGTGGTTCCAAGTCTTGAGCCCTGGCATTTGACTCTTAATCCAGAGATTTTCCTGCAAGACTATACTGGCTCCGCAAAAATAACTGGTTTATAAAATATTCCAATAAAACGAGCACACATTGAAAAGCTCACAATGCCTGCTTACAAATGTCCCACCAAACCCTGAGAGAGCGGTGTGGAACTGCAGCAATGATCATTGCCACCAGCTGGACGTCTGCGTGTGTCACACACAAAAACCACGGGGGGGGGGGGGGGGGGGGGGGGGGGGGAGGGGGGGGGGGGGGCGCCTGACACGTTCTAACAGATGTGTCCCCATCCTCTAGTGACAGTCTGAGCTCTTCCTGATGCCTCACCAGCCACATTAATTACCCTGATTTAAATCCTTCCTATGGCAAGAGCAAAGCGTCAATAACAACCCATCCCTGAGTCTCTCCATTTCCCTTGACTTCGATCTCTGTTTCAGAATTACATCAAAGCGACTAAGAATAGAACATGAGGGTAGGAGCAACCACTCAGTCAGTAAACTGTCTGCCTTGCAAGCACAGAACCAGAGTTTCTTCCCCAAGACGCACTCTTAACAGATCTGGGCACGGTGGCGTGCATTTGTAATCCCAGTGCTAGGAAAGATGATCCCTGAGGCTTGCTAGCCAGACTGCACAGTCTACTTGACAAGCTCCAGGCCAGTGAAAGACCCTGTCCAAAAGAAAAATGAACGGGACCAAGTAAGAGACCTAAGTGGTTGTCCTCTGGGATCTAGACGCTCATGCACACGGAGCAGCAGCAGACACACACTCGGTGAATAACAGATCAAGGAAACAGTGAAAGTAAACACATTTTTGTAATAGTTTATTGTTACCCAAAGTTAAAAACAGATGACACTTACCTCGAAGCCACCAAAGTCGTCATCGTCCATCTTCAAGCAGCACCTGAAACACAGAACAACTGAGATGAGACAAGCCACCTGCATCCAAGCACGCCTGTGACTTAAAGGAATATACACTCTGAGCTGTAAATTAAAGCTGTTTCATTTGGGTTATGAAGGGCTTTCTTAAACTGTATTGTGCATTTTTTATCACTTAAAAAAAAACAGCTAGTAATTGGTTATTTTTTTACTTTCTGGCAAAATTAGCAATTTCTGGAACTTTTTCAGTAACCATGTATTTTGCCATTTTCTGTTGAGACTCCAGGAGTGGAAAAAATATTCTTTTACATTTTAATTTGCTTTTCCCAAAGTGGCGCTAGGCCCCATCAGTAATGCTTCCTGCTTTCCGAATCTACTCCTCAGCTGCCTGGCAGCATCAGCACAAACTCCAGTTAAGAACAGGACTGTGGTTGAGTTTTTGGAAATCTGTCCCCCACCACAAAGGTTCTTCCCTCGGTTTCATGGCCGGGCTGAGTTAGATTCTCAAAGTTGATCAGCATTTTTGAACGGTGGCCACGACTTCTGGAGCATTTGATATGTGTATTTTTAGCCGAAACTGCTTTGCACTTCTGGAAAAATGTGGAGCAAGTTACTGAGCCGATCAAGGTAAATCAAGTCGTGTGTTCACGAGATGAGGCAGAAAACATGAGAGGACCCAGGATCCTTCACACCTCACTCTCAAGGTGGGAGAGAGAGCACCGTACCACACGGGCTGTGCCTCTCCCTAAACACGTTACGGGAGGGTCAAGGGTCAATCAAGCCTTAGCGCCGAGGCTTCAGAACTAAAGCAGCGGCTTTGGCTCACAGCAGAAAGGAAGGAAAATGCCCGAAAAAAGGCTGGGGAGTAATCGTCACCTATGCTCCCTAAGAGTGAGAACAGGAAAACAGAAGTGAAGCCCAGCAGGCCTCGCTCCAGGGAGCCAGAAGCCATGCTCAGGTCCCTGAGGAACACCTACCAACAACTCCATCAAAAGAATTCCACACTCCAGAACTCAACAGCAAACAAATACACTAATCACAGACAGCTTTCATGAGGCCAACCAGACTCATTTTCACAAAAAGTATAAAGAATGCGTGTGGACAGAAGCATGATAATTTTATAAGTGGCGCTGAGTTGCTAGAATTGCTAACACAGAAAGGACAGAGGCGGCACTGCCACGGTTTGGTCACAGCCTCACAGTCTGATGACATTTCTCCAAAAACGTATTTCTTTTTATAAATTTAGAAATTAAAGCTCAGCTAGCCATCGGTAGGAAGCACCTAGAAAATATGAACCAGACTGCTAAGAACAACGCTCGGTGGCGGGTAGTCTGAAATGTCATCACGTTATTCGCGTCTCAACTGAGGACAACTCTCCTCTGATGACATCCGTCAGGAAGAAACTATGGGAGAAGAAGATGTGCACCCTAAGGATTACCAGGGAAACTGTAGACACCACCGCTGTCCTTTCACGTGGATGCCACAAACCTCCAGGGTCAAATGCCGTGTATTTTTAGCATCTATGAACACCACTGCACTCGGGGACTCACTTCTAAAGACTGGAGTTTCCAGAGTTAATGCTCCCGTGTTTTCACAAGGCTTATCCTGACACGGGACGGGAAGGATGCCACGGAGCCGACAACACAAGCACACAACATGTTCGCCTGTGGTAAGGAAGCAGATTCCTAAGTTCTGATGGAGCTGTGCAAAACAGCAGAGTGGTGACCGCTGACGCTCTAGGTTCCAGCAACTCCTACGCACCGAGGGAGACAAGACAGAGTTCCTCTTCTAGATGGGCAAAAAAGCAGTCACGTATTTTATTTAAAAGTAAATAAATGTGCCCTGTATATCTTAAGATATGATGCCTCAGAAATGCTGTGTTAAAGACATAGCCTTTCTGAAAATAATTTAGATTCAAACCCTATGACAGTTTCCTTTTGAAAATTAAGAGAAGAAAGAAAACGGATGTTTTTTTTTTTGCTGCTGATTGTGTGTGTGTATTTTTAGAAACAGGATTTCGCTATGTAGCCCTGACTGGCCTGGAACTTCTATTTAGACCAGGCTGCCTTCAAAATTCAGAGAGACCTGCCTGCCTCTGCCTCCTGAGTACTGGAATTAAAGGTGTGAGCCACCGTGCTTGACCTCAACAGCACTGGTTTTTTTAAAACTCAGTTTTACAGGGGCCAGAGAAACAGCTCAGTCAATAAAGCATTTGACACACAAGTATATGAAGCACTGTTTAGATCCCCAGAATTCACATAAAAAGCAGGTATATATAAAAATCCTGTAATACCAGCACTTGGGAGGCAGAGAGAGGGAATCCTGGGTCAAAATGGCCAGCTAGACTAGTCTGCACTGTCCAGCTCTGGCTTCAGCAGGAAAGCCTGCCTCAAAAATCAGTGATCAAAAATCATGCCCAACATTTACGTTGGGACTCAAACCCCTATACACACATGAGCATGCAAACATGCAGCCCACAAATACACAAACATACAAAAAGGTCATTGATTTACAACACACAAAAGTTAAAAAGCAATTTTTAAGAAGGAAACATCAGAGGTTCTTCATGGACTCTGTCACTTGAATACACTCAACCCTTGGTTCTTTCTAAGCCATAATGTGTTAAGTCGCTGTGAAACGTGTCTGCAGTTTGTGTTACAGCCATTAGAACTGCAGGGATTCCCACCATGTGTCAAGTAACACCTAAGCAGAGAATGATGAGGCTCTAACTCAGAGCTATATCCCACTAACTTGGGACCAAGGCTAAAGGTTTTCATAGTATCTAAGCTCAACAATCTCAGGACCCCTTGCATGTAAATTAACCTATCCTGTTGCTTTATTATGTTAATTCCCTATTCTGCCATCCTCAGTATTTAAAACACTGACAGTACTTTTAAAGTCCGGTTTGAGAAAAACAGACCAGAGAGTAAAACATGCACAGGGACAGCATTGCACACCCTCTGCCACCAGCCACTCCACAGATGTCAGCCAAGGTCCTTGAGAGGCTGAGTGGTGAGGAAGAAAGCTCAGATCCAGGGAAAAAGCACACAGGTATAAACAACAGTGAAAACTCTTAGGGAGAAAACTGCCTAGTGTGGGAAAATAATTGAGGGGGGATCTATGGTTGGGAATATCAGGGGACTTCTGAGACAGACTGAAGGAAATGAACAGAAATTCTAAATAGAACTTTTAAAAAAAAAAAGTACATTTTATCCAAGTTTCCACTGAAAGGTCTTCTTTAAAATGACCCACTCCCCCCACCAAAAAAAGATGTTACATTAAAATGCTTGTGTGTGCTCCTAAATACAAACAAGGTTTAAAGAACAAACAAGGTAAAGGAGAAAAGTGTGAAGCATGGCAGGGAAGAACAGAGGTGGCTCAGCCCCATTTCCCTCAGGCTACCCACAGAAGGCTCAAGAATGAGCAACTAGCAGTTGGTTAAAGATGAGGCTCAAATTCCAACCAATCAGGGCTGCACCTCAATCGCCAACCAAAATCATAAAGCCAGTCAGTTGCAGTTCTTCCCCCAGCAGAACACAGGAAGCATGAAGACAGAGTTTTTGCACCATCTCAGTCTTCATGATTGAAAGCAAAACCATGCCAGTGTGTCCTGGAAAATAGCAGCACTGTGTCACAGCGAGGCACATGAAAGCATCAGTGCTCAAGGCCTCCTGCTGTGTCTACCACGCTTTCCCTTTCCTTCTTGGATGAGCCGGTGCCTGCTCTGTATCTACTACCAATCAGAGCGAGCACGGCTTGATTTCAGCTACCCTTTATTACACACGTTTGTGTACATGTATGTCAGAGGACAGCCTGTAGGACTTGTGAGTAGACGCCTTTATCCATTGAGCCATGTCGCTGGTCCAATCTGTCAACTCTCTGTAGTGTAAGCATCCTCTAAATTGGAAGCTAGTGTTTCACTTTTTTAAGGGAGCTTTGGATGGAAAATAATTCTATTTTTTAATAATAAATTTTGGTCTTTTTAAATCTTTTGGTTTTTAGATATATACCTGCACTTGCTACAAAGAAAGCTAATAATTTTAGAAATTTAAATGTTCAAGCAAGCTACAGCTTAATATTTACATGTAGTAAAACCAAAGATCTAGTTTCCTTTTAAAAAAATATGGAAGTTCTCCACGCCCCATTTCCTTTATTATAAAGTAACTTTTTCCTTCACTAACCTGATACTTTCTTATCATATAACACATTCGTTGCTGCAGAATAAACTTTGTACACTGTAAATATGTATAAACTATTCTCATTGGTTAATAAAGAGCTGACTGGCCTAGAGCTAGGTGGGAGAGGCAGACTAGGAGAATTCTGGGAAGAAGGGTGGAGTCAGAAGTGTCCCCAGCCAGACAGAGAGGGAACAAGACACACTCGAGAGGTAAATACCACAAGCCTCAGGGCAGCACATAGATTAATAGAAATGGGTTCATTTAAGTTATAAGAGCTAGTTAATAATAAGCCTGAGCTATCAACTGAGCATTTAAAATTAATAAGACTCTCTGACTGGTTACTTGGGAGCGGCTTGCAGGACAAAAACTTCCACCAACCATTTATTTCGGAACACACAGACCCATGGATATGTGTGCCTATTTCTAGCTGCAGAATTATTTTGATGGCACTGACACCCATACGGGACCAAGCAGTACCATCCTAAGCCTGGTGCATTGTAGCTTATCAGTGAAGTTGTCATTTTCCTTAGTGAACTTTTTTCTGCATCTTTTGTCAAGTTTACACCTGATGCTCTACGAGTCTAGTGTCTCCTTTTACATTACTTAACTATGTCTTACGCCCATCTTTCTTTGGTAAGCTCTCATTGGTAATTGTTTTACCTGTACATTCCTTCATGTTAATTTTATATGCAAATGATCATTTTGTCTCCAGACAGCAAGTTTCCTTTCCTCCATTACAATCCCACTACCCCAGGTTCTGTTCCTTTTGTCACTTGCATAGGCCATGCTCTTCACTGCTGCCCTGGTGCCTGGTGCCATGCGATGGGCTGCACTTGCTGAAGATAAT